GTAGAAATGCTGCTCGTTGCAATCCTTGCTATCCTTTATGCCCTCTGCATTCAATCCATCTTTTCCAAACAGAGCATTTTGCATTTTCATCTAAGCTAGGTTCTGTCAAATTGATGGGAAAAGCCTGATTTGTATCACAGGCACAAGCAACAGATCAAAGCAGAATGACCCCAGATATGACAGTACATGGACTGGGGTCAGGGAAACTTCTTATTTTTCCTAATGGTTTTACATGAATGCTATTTTAACTAAACTAAAACACTAAAATAAAGTTTTAAAGCAGAGTTTGCCAGAGGGTAGCACTTCACAACCTGTTCTATGTCTTTACCCTGAAACTGGCTCTTCCTTTCAGGTAGATTTCTGTAATGGCATGGAAATGCTCCTTTGGTTAAGTCTTTCCACTGCAATTTTAGAATTCTTTGATTCACTGAGATGCAAAATTGGTAAATCTACTGCTCTGCTCCCAACCAACTTTTATGTGATTGCTTTTGACTTAATATTCCCAGCTGAGGGTTGTTTTTCTGTTGATATGCTTCCCATCCAACTCCCGTTGTTCTTCTTTTTCATTGTATCTTGATTTCTGAATTACCATCCTTATGTAAAACCATAGAATGTTCATTGAGAGTGGGCATGTTTGTGTGTGTACTTCCTCCTCCTTTTCTGTCCTGTCATAGAAATCAAGTGAATGTGCCTCGATAAGTAGAGACATTGCACAGGTAGCCGTGCCTCAGATAGGGCTATGTGTATCTCTTTGTAGAAAACTTCACAGCCTGTAATTCATCTTTTTTTTTGGGGGGGGGGGGGGGCCGCGGGGTGCCCCACAGCTTTTTTAATAAATAAAAATATCACACCTAGACATCGTAGACAGATTTTCAGTAAAATTTTTGTAATTAAATTTCCAATCAATTTTTTAAATAAGTATTTCTTTTTATTTATTTTTCCTTGAGCACCTGCAGGCAAGGAGGGCTTGGAAGGCTTGAGGTCGATCCTCAGCTGCCGTGTTTGAGAAGAGTCCTTCCCACTCCTTAGATTGTGGCATCTTTAAATGAAGTTTTTGTTTGTTTGTTTGTTTGTTTTTCATTTTGAATATGAGTATTCACTAAAATCAAACAATTTACCCAGGGACCCTGTAGCAGCAATGAGTTGTGCCTGACATATCATCACGAGACTGTTTTATATTCTATGTAAAAATGATTTGTTTCCCAAAAGGCAAAGAAAATTCATTCGACTGATTTTAGTAGCCTTGACATCATATTAATGATTTTCCTTTTTGCTATTTTTCATTCTAGCAACATATTTTTAGAAATTTGGGACCCCTACATGTCATTTCTCAAGCTGTGATCTACTCCAGGCTTATTACATTTACTTCATTCTGTATTTTTTGCAGTTGCATAATGTTGCCTTCCTGGTTGGAGGGAAAAATCTGTTACTACGTCTAAATCATCTTCTCCCATGCTTCTAGCTTCCCTTTCACTACTCTATTAATAATTTTTTTTCCCATATGCACTTTTTTTGTTTCCCATATGCACATTTTTGCCTGAAGCAAACTCTTCTCAGCATTTGTTATTGGTGCGGGTCCAACATTGCTGTAATCCAGTTACAGTTATTTGTGCAGCTAGAATATCAACTAAATGCATTTGCTTCATTTTGTTATGCCTACTTAATATTTTCAAAAGAAAATTAGTGAGATTTTTCCGTGCAAACTGTATCGGGTCAAACACAGGTCACACACTATAGTGTACGATACTCTGTTTTGCTTTGTGCACCAGTTATTATTAAATCAGGATAAGAGCTGGGCATGTGGACTTGAGCCATGTGTTAATCCAAGTTCAGCCAGAAGTGCGTGCCATCCCATATTTAGTGTAATGGTTCAATTACTGCTGATGAAATTGTATTATCTTCTGAATCCATCTTACCCTATTGTCTAGCAATTAGCTGCACATGCACGTCCCATGTCGGAGTCATCTCCTCTGACACAGGCAGTGTCAAAACCAAAAAAAAAAAAAAGACTTTTTTTTAAATAGATAAATCTTTTATTAATAGGGAAAAATTGCATAAATTTATAGGTGAAATGGCACAGGGATGTAGAAGAGGCTCAGGGCAAGTTCAGTGGCACCAAATTCTTTTGAAAATAAACTTTTCATGTTCCTTTTAGAAGTGATTTCCAATACAGCATCTTAGCAGTGTATGGATAAAGGCTACAATCAGTGGGATGCTTTAGCATTGCTGTGACTGGGGGGTTTAGTAAAGCTGACTAAAAGCTACCCAATATTTTAAAATATAAGGTTATGTGCGTGTGTGTGTGTTTTGTTTTTTTATTTTCATAAATATTTTAGTTCTCTGATACAGGTGATTTTGTCTGCTGCTTATGAATGTAGATGTGTGTCTGGTCACACAGTGTGATAGCAATGACTGTACGTTCTCCTGCTCTCCAACCATGTTGTAGCTGTAGCTTTTTTAGGCTTTTCTAAACTTCTGTGTGAACCTTTTGACATTTTGAGGCAGATCTCTGCAGATACTTTTCATTGAAATGTTTAAAGTGTTTAGATTGTAACTACTCAAAGCTGACATTAAAGAAAGCTGCAAGTGTGTCCTCAAATGGATTGGGCCACTTGCCACATTATTCTTTGTTGCTAATTGTTAAAAAAAAAAAAAAAAAAAAAGAAGAAAAGGAAACACAGACTGCCTTTTTTCTCTTAAGCTGATTATTTTCTGCTAATACACCTCTATCATGATGAAAATGAAATCTGTATTTGGCTTTGTTAATGTTTTTCTTTATGTGTATTTATTTATATGATATATAAATATACATATATATTTATATGATATATGAATATTATTATTTTTATATGATTAATAGAATAAATTAATGGTAATATATGTATTACGTAGAAGTGGAAACTGTTGAAAATGATGGAAGAGTGGTTTAGGTTTTCTTCTGTTAGATGGTGTTTTTAGGTGCTCAGTGTTGAGTACCCTTGAGGAGTGAGAGAATGCAGATATCTGGACAGCTTGCACAACGTTACACCTTGTGTACAAGCAAAAAGTTTCAGGACACCTAGATTCAGTCTAAATATCCTTACCCTTACCTTAATTGTAGGTAACCCTGCACACTTAGTTACCTAGCTGGCATTTTTAAATGATGGCTCCCATAGCTGCACCTGCAATTCAGAAGTACATTAGTATTTGTTTTTCAAACATGAAGTGACCTTAACTATATGCAAAACTATGTGAATAATGGCATTTGGGCACTTGCTATGCAAGGAGGCACAGCCAAGGGTAAGATTTTTGTTTGACAGTTCTAGATAGAAGTGCACTTCTATCTGCACTTCCTTCTGCTTTCTCTTTTAATCTCTTTGCTAATAGTAGCTTTAAGTCAGCGTACAGTCTGGGCCATTTTATGGGCAAACCATTACATTAATTCTACAATTTTGGAGAAAGTATCTGCAATCTTCCATCACATGAAATTTCTACATACTGTCTTATCTTTGCTCTTTTCCCATCTTGAAGGCAAATTTATTTGAAGTTCTGAATAAATTCAACTTGTAAAGTGATTACAGTGTATTTTGTGACTAGCACCTTGAAAGAAAATGCTTTTAAAACCAATCCCAGTTTCGCATGCTATGGTTTGAGTTGAAAAACTGCCAAAATATTTTCTCTACTGTAAGAGAGAAACTGTACTGTAAGGCTCTACTGTAAGCCTTGCCATAATTTTTCATTAAGACTTAGTGCTAGTTTGTGTCACTACTTATTTTAGCAGGATCTAAGCTTTGAGGAAAATAGGGTAATAATTTAGAAAGAAACAAATAACTGAATCAAATTTTATTGCATAAAGCATTTGGAAAAATTAATTTATCTCATTAGAAAGTATATTTGTAGACAGTCTCTGGCTGTCTCTCTTTGGAATATTTAAATCTAGTTTCCTTTTGTCTTTGAAATGTAAATCTATATGTCTTGTTTATGAATTGTATGTAATTTTGGTGTATGTACACTTCAATTGGTCACCACTAGAAATAATAACAAAAAAAAAGGATTCTGTGAAACAGGCCTGTATTTGATTTTCAAAATCAGGTGCTTATATTCTGTGATTAAAAATACCTGAGGTTGACGTCAGCTAAAAGAAAATCTCTGAAAAATTCGTAGGGAGTCCAAATGCATTGACTCCCAGTGAATCCAAAGGGACTAAAGATGTAGTAACCTGAGGCTTGAGTGTATCTTGGAATCTCATCAGGAGCTTGATAAATAATTATCCCAGATTTTTAACATTTTACACCGCTGCAGCTCCTGTGAGAAGAATGGCTAAAAAATTCCTGTGAATAATGGGTGTGGTTGAATTTAGGGAAAAGAGATTGCAGGAACAAGCAAAACCTTTGAGTGTATTGACCAGAAATGATGTACAGGCCATTGGCGAGCACCAAGGAACTTGTAGAAGGTTCAAAAGAGGGGAAAATTACGCATCAATCATAATTTTGAAGACCTTAACGCAAAAATAACCTATCTCTACCACTCAATGTATGACCTGTTAAAGACATGCAGATTCTGAGAGTCACAGAATCGTACAATCATGGTATAGATCTTATTCTAAGCGGCTGTATTTTCACATTTAAAGGCTCGCTCTCCTTCTGTGTGTTTGCGCCCACAACACAGCTCAAAGTTTATCTTTTAGCATCGCAGGTAGATAATGCTCTTGCCAAACTGGTCGTTTCCAGCCATGTAGAAAAGGAAATGAAAAAAAATGTCTGTTTGTTTGTGGTCAAGGAGTTTCTTTGTTTTGTGTCTTTTCAACGATGTCCGTGGAAGCGCGTTGCCCTCCAAGCCTGCACGGGTCTAAGGGCTCCCGTCACGTCGCAGGGATGGGGCTGCTGGCCCTGGCCGCGCTCGCTCCGGCGCTTCGCCGCGGCGGCCCCGTCCCCGGGGGGCCGCGGGC